ATATATATATATATATATATATATATATATATATATATATACATACACACACACACACACACACACACACACTTCTGTGCTGTGCCATCCTTTTGGCCAATGGCTGTTTAATTTCCCTGATGTAAGACTGATCACAGCCCACATTGCTCTAGTGCAATGTAGATATCCTAACTGGGCCTTCTTGAAAGCAGAGAAGAAACCCAAACAGGACTCCAGTCAGCCATGAGATGAATAGGAGGAACCCAGACCAAGATCAGTAATCATTCCATATGTTGCAGATTATTAGAGAATCTGAGACGTTTATTTTCTAAACACAACATCCCAGTGGCTTTTAAACTCCAAAACGCATTACCGCAAAAACTGGTTAATCCCAAAGATCCAGTCTCCTGGCACAAACAAAGTAATATTGTGTATGCTGTTCAGTGTCAGGAGGGCTGTGGTCAGTCTTTCATCGGAAAACTAAACAGCCACTGGTCAAAAGGATGGCCCAGCACAGAAGAGCAACACCATCAGGCCAGGACTCTGTGGTCTACACTCATCTCCAGCCCAGCGGTCACTCGTTCAGGGATGAAGATGTTCACATCCTGGATAGAGAGGAATGATGGTTTGAGAGAGGAGTAAGGGAGGCCATCTTTGTGAAATTAAACCGTCCATCATTAAACAGGGGTGGAGGCCTACGTGTTCAACTGTCCCCCTCTTACAATGCTGTTATTGCTAGTATCACTCAGCCCCCTGTGAATTGCAAACAGCCATCAGTGTGCTAATGATCCATTGTTAGGCTGATGGTCCTTCTTGATCATGTGAGCAGCTGGTTTTTGCTGTTAGCTGCAAACTGGTTGATCCACTCTGAGAAGGTGCTATTTAAGAGACTGAGCTGAATACAGCACCTCAGACTAAAGAAGTCTTTCGGATGAAAGACGAAACATTTCTACATTTTTTTGTTGTTGTTTGTTTTGCTTTGTTTTGTTTTTTTGAATGTCCAGAGGACCAGACTTAACTTTTGTAGATTTTTCTACCTGGATTATTGAGTATGAATCAGGACATAATTTCTAAAGTTTTTACACAGAAACTGACATTTTTACAGCCGCTGAGCAGAAACATAATGGGACCCCTTTGTTATCGCTGGTACCCCTCCCCACCCGGGGGTCGCACCCCCCCAGGTTGAGAATCACGTGACTCCACATCCGTGCACAAACATAATTCAGTCACACAAGATTCACAAATTAATCTAAAGTTTTTTAAATCAATCAACCTTTATTTAGACAGGTAAATCTCATTGAGCCTCGAGGACTCATTTACAAGAGAGACCTGATTTCAACAAAAAAAGATGACAACAATGGACAACAGCAACAACAATAAACAGTTATAAAAAGTCATCCATCCATCCATTTTCTTTACCCGCTTATTCCATTTTGGGTCACGGGGGTCGCTGGTGCCCATGTCCAGCAATCACTGTGCGAGGGGCGGGGTACACCCTGGACGGGTCGCAAGTCCATCACAGGGACACATAGAGACAAACGAGACAAACAACCATTCACTCTCTCACTCACACCTAGGGACAATTTAGAGTTACCAATCAGCCTAACATGCATGTTTTTGGACTGTGGGAGGAAACCGGAGCACCCGGAGAAAACCCATGCATGCACGGAGAGAACATGCAAACTCCACCCAGAAAGGCTCCTGGACCGGGGTTTGAACCAGGGACCTGCTCGCTGAGAGGCAGCAGCTCTACCAGTTGTGCCACCGTGCTGCCCTATAAAAAGTCATACTACAGTTTTTTGTTTTTTTAACAAATAGGATGGCTAAAAAAATGTAACAAAAAACAGCTAGATTCTAAGGCGAATGTAGAAAACTAAAAACAGGAACATGTCTGCATTGGTCATTGCCAGGAGTCCAACAGATTCTTAAAGCCACTTAGAGAGGTCAAGGTCGAGAGCTTCAAATCTTTTTGTAAGATATTCCAGGAAACAGGAGCGGAGTAGGAGAAGGCCCTTTTGCCTAGTTCAGTCCTCATTGAAGGAACACTGCAGGTAATAATGTCCTGAGAGCGCACACCGTAGCTGCACTCACGCAGAGACATGTACGAGGAGATGTAAGAAGGCAGCAGACCAAGAAGTGATTTAAAGATGAAAATGTACCAGTGAGAGAGTCTGCGTGAAGTTAGTGATGTCCAGTTAACCAGTGAATACAGGGTGCAGTGGTGGGTACGATAATCACAGCCAGTTATGAATCTTAGTGCACCATGATAGACAGCATCCAACATCTGCAGGGTTCTTGTAGGAGCGTTCATGTAAATAATGTCACCATAATCAATTGAGGGAAGGAAAGTCACAGATACAAGGCGTTTTCTAGCATTCAGGGTTAGACAGCATCTGTTTCTGAAAAAGAAACCCAGTTTAACTTTCAGTTTCTTTACCAAGTTTTCCACATGGAGCTTAAAAGAGAGATGTGAGTCGACCAAGA